ATCACATAGAAAGGCGTCCAGGCAGATTTTGCTTAATCATCTAGTTGAGAGAGGCTGATGCCTCACACTGGGGATGCTGAGATCCAGTACGTGCCTGTCTGTGGGCGTGCAGGGAAGAGCATTGGTTGCTGACATGACCTAGTGAACAAACATCACCACCTCTCTGACACCCCTCCACTGCCCCATAACTGCAGTGGGGTGGCACATCCCCATACCATTGCTGACCCTTTAAGTTACTGGAATCTTTTGCAAATGTTTTTGTTACTTGCTGCTGTGTATTGGTTAAACACCTGGATGACTGCTGCAGTGACAGCAGTTGAATGGCTAACCTCTTCCTGACTTTCTCACAGGCGTTCTTTGAAACAGCAAGCATGATGAGGCAGGTGTCTCACAAGCACATCGTCCTCCTCCATGGAGTCTGCGTCCGTGACGTGGAAAGTGAGTTGAGTGAACATCTCTTGAGGCAGCACACTTAAGCAGCAGGTTTGGCAGGGACAGGGTGGCCATTCAGTTCAGTGCCAGCACATGGGGAGATGGGGTTAGCAGAGCAGCTGCTGCCTTGTGATTTCTCAGAGCAGACAGAAGTGGAATTGGAACAGCCAGGAAGCTGCAGAGTCCATTCCTGTAATGAGTTTTCCCTTCCAGTGCTGTCTTTGAATAAGCTGATTCCTTGAGGTTGGAATGCAGGTGACAGAGGTAGTATCAATCCAAACCAGCCTTCTGGCAGAAGTTATTTCCCTGGGAAGGCTCTGCCCTCTGGTCTTTGAAATGCTTTTTTCCAAGTTTACTGTTCATTTACTACATAAAGCCACTCTTCTCAGCCTTTTCATTTGGACTCTGAGCACTGAAATAAAACTTTGAGGAAGGTGAAATAAAGACCTATAATAAACCACCTTGCCTGGGGGGGGTGGAGATGGTAAGATGCCCATTAGGTTACTCCAGATACCAACTATTGCACTACTGACTCTCTGCACCTGACTTTGTAGATATCATGGTTGAAGAGTTTGTTGAATTTGGGCCTCTGGATCTGTTAAAAAAAAGGAAGAGTGAAGTTCTGACAACTCCTTGGAAATTCAAAGTTGCCAAGCAACTTGCAAGTGCTCTGAGCTACTTGGTAAGAAGGATTCTTGACAAAAGCATTGCCTAGAGCTGCTGCGACCTAACGCTGCAGAGGGTTCATGGGCGTTGGTAACTAATGAATTCCCTTTCTCAGGTAGCATGATGGTGCAGTGATATATTTTTTGTGTTCATTATGTTGCTTTAAAGAAGGAGAAGGACTCTCAGAGAAGGTGATGAGGTCCTTTTTTATCAGCAGGCCAGTCTATGTGCTTGCATTTGCCACCAGTTGCATTGTGTGCCTGGGGAAACTGTCACAGCTTCTTCTTTCTGCAAGTGTCCTCTTTGTCCAAAAGGAATAGAATGTTGGTATTTTTTTCAAAGTGCATCAGCTCTACAAATACTTCCATGTAAACAGTATGTTTCCCTGCTCCTCCTTTCCCTGTTTTCCTCTGGGATAATTTCTTCCAACCTGTGTTTTCAGATTTTAGCTTGGAAGAAATCATGAATGAATCATGACTGAATTCTGAAGGAAGCTGAAAATTTTGAGCTTGATTTTAGAGCGATCTCCTGTGCTATAGGTGTGTCAGAACACTTGCAGAGCATCACTGACTCACTGCACTCATTATTCTTTTCCACCCTTACTGTAGGAGGATAAAGATTTGGTACATGGAAATGTATGTACTAAAAACATCCTTCTGGCAAGAGAGGGAATTGACACGGAATATGGTCCTTTCATAAAGCTGAGCGACCCAGGAATACCGGTGACTGTGCTGTCCAGACAAGGTATGGTACAAGAATCAGATTCTCTCTTCAGTGTGGTGAGGAAGGGGAAGGGAAAAAAATAACATTGATACCAGCTAGAACTGGCTCTAGAATAGAAGTAATCAGCTTTCATGAATCTGAAAACTAGAGAGAAGTAAAGGAATGTTGCTGATGGCTCTGTGTTGTATTAATTTCTCTTTAAAAAAGTCCTGTCAAGTCTAGTGAGTCTGCAGTGCTGTGTCCGGTTCTGGAGCCCCCAACACAAGAAAGACAGGGACCCGTTAGAACGAGTCCAGAGGAGGCCACCAGGATGATGCGGGGGCTGGAGCAGCTCTGCTGTGAGGACAGGCTGAGAGAGTTGGGGCTGTTCAGCCTGGAGAAGAGAAGACTCCAGGGAGACCTTCTAGTAGCCTCCCAGTACCTGAAGGGGCTCCAGGAAGGGTGGGGAGGGACTTTTTATAAGGTCAGGGAGTGACAGAACAAGGGGAAATGGCTTGAAAGTGGCAGAGATGAGATGTGAGGAAGAAATTCTTTGGTGTGAGGGTGGTGAGACAGTGTCCCAGGTTGGCCAGAGAAGCTGTGGCTGCTCCTCCCTGGAAGTGTTCTCGGCCAGGCTGGATAAGGCTTTGAGCAACCTGGTCTAGTGGAAGGTGTCCCTGCTGCTGGCAGGGGGGTTGGAACTGGATTAGCTTTCAGGTCCCTTCCAACCCAAACCAGTTTGGGGTTCTGTGATTGTATAGAAGGAATCTCAGTTTCTGGATGGTTCAAGGCACGAGCTTGCAAAAGCCACAGAAACATCCTTCTGAGAACAGGGATTTGAGAATCAAGATTTCCCTGAAACAAATAGAAGTTAGAAAGTTAGAAAGCTGATGTTTTTAGTCCTTTGATATGAACCCCAAAATGCTTTGATTCTCTGTTTTATCTAAGAATGCGTTGAGCGGATCCCCTGGATTGCACCTGAATGTGTTGAAGACTCCAAAAATTTAAGCATTGCAGCAGATAAGTGGAGTTTTGGTACAACACTGTGGGAAATCTGCTATAATGGAGAAATACCACTGAAAGACAAGACGTTAGCAGAGGTAAAACTACGTTAAATAAACTTTGATATCTCAGCTACCTTCTCTTTGACACTTCAGTTGCGATACCCAACTTCAGTTGCTTTCAATTTACATGAAAACCAGCTCAGCTGGAGTTGACAAGGGGCTGATCCATCTCAATTGCCACAGGTTGCAGTGGGAATTCTTGTCCTTCCTGTCAAAATTGCTAATTATTGATTCAGCAAATTAACATTATTGATTCAACAAATTGATTGAATTATTGATTATTATTGATTGAATTATTGATTCAACAAATCCCCTTGTTGGGGATTTTAAAAACTCACCATAGTACCAATTAAACAGAACTTCTGATGCTCTCACACCTGGCCTTTTCTAACCCCTGTGTCCAGTTATAAACTGACTTGAGGTTCTGCTTAAAATCAGCAAAGTTCTTCTATTCTTGCTCGTTTCTTTGGGACATTGGTTCAGAACTGGTCTCCTGTGGGACACCATTATTGTTCACTCTGAAATCTAAAAAACAAAATTTAACTAACTCTTGTTCTGCCTTACTGCTGGCAGCTTCTTTTCATCCCTGCTGGAGTCCCTCAGCATATGTTCCAAATGTGCTTTTTCTCTCTTGAAGTTTTGCTGTGTTTGGGAAGGTGATGGAGCAAGGCAGCTGCTGCTGCTCTGAAGGAAATGACTGAGCACTTGAGTCACTGCCCAAGTCGTTATGACAGGAGGTGGCTGCAAGGAACTTGCTGCCCTGGCTACAGTCTGCTTCCTGCATGTGGCAGCCAGCCGGGGTAGTTCTGCAGAGCTTAGAAAATCCACAAACCCACCCTCATCCCATCTTGCCCTGAAGCTGGTACCTTCTCAGGGGTTGTGAAGAACAGCCAGTGTTGTTTCCTTAGCGAGCGTTTCCACTTGGCTGTTTGTCCCAGTGCACAAGTAACATGGCAAACCTGGCAGAAAAATAACTTCTGAAAGGTGAAATCTTCTGCACGTTTTAGAAACTTAATGTGTTTAAAGTGGTTGCTCCAAACTACACCAGATTCAGCACAATAATCATTCTCTACTGGTAGGAGATGGTTGAGAGTTACTGCTGGAAAGGAGGATTTCCTTGGCACGGTTAAGTCAAAGTTCTCAATGAGTTAAGGATCTGACGGTCACATCTGCTGATGTAGAACTTGGGTTTATTAAGTTAAAAGCTAAAATTCATGCAGGAGCTTCCGTTTGTGCCTTACAGAAGGAGAGGTTCTACGAGGGACATTTTGTGTTGGCAACACCATCGTGCAAGGAACTAGCTGACCTGATGAAACAGTGCATGAACTACGACCCCCATCAGAGACCCTTCTTCAGAGCAATCATGAGAGACATCAACAAACTGGAAGAACAAAGTAAGGCCTGGTTCTGCTTCTCAGCTGGAGGGAGGGGTGAGGAAGGATGGTTTATTGGGCTAACTTGGGCATCTTACAGCAGCATGTCCAGCGAAGGACAACGGAGCTGGCGAAGGGTCTGGAGCACAAGTGTGCTGAGTTCCCTTGTGGCTGAGGGAACTGGGGGTGTTGAGCCTGGAGAAAAGGAGGCTGAGGGGAGACCTTGTGGCTCTGTGCAAGTCCCTTGGAGGAGGGTGGAGAGAGGTGGGGGTGGGTCTGTTCAACCAAGGCCCAAGGGACAGGACAAGAGGAAATGGGCTCCAGTTGTGGCCAGGGCAGTTGAGATGGGATGTGAGGAAGAATTACTTCACCCAGAGGGTAGTAAAGCATTGGAACAGGCTGCCCAGGGCAGTGGTGGAGTCCCCATCCCTGGTGGGATTTAAAAGACATGTAGATGTGGTGCTCAGGGACATGGGTTAGAGGTGGGATTGGCAGTGTTGGGTTTATGGTTGGACTTTATGATCTTAAAGGCCTTTTCCAAGCAAAACGACTCTCTGGTTTTTCCGTGTGTGTGGTTGTACTGACAGGAGCATGTTGGGTTCCTACAACCACAGAGCGAACCCTTTCTATAGATGAGTGCAAATAGGATTAATGTTTTAATTTGTTTAATTTGTGTTTAATTCATACGGACTGTGGTGCTTAAGTTGTGCTGGTGTTACTGGCATTTCATTCAATGGTCTGTATTTTCTACCACAGCTTCAGTTAGTTTCAGGACAATCTTTGAGCTCCATGAGATTTCCATAGGATGCTCTTGACCAAATCAGAGCATTGACACAGATAACTCTGGTTCCTGGCTCATCTTCTGTCAAAATTACTACAGAGCAACTGACAGACGATCGCTGCGTAGTAAGGGCAAAACTTGACTTCCCATCCCCAGTATAAATAATCATAGAAGCTGAATAATTACTACAGGGTGGGAAGTGCTGTAGTAAAACTGAAGAGAAAGCTGAGTCAGAAGCTGGAAGAAGACCAAGTGAGCAACCCAGAAAGTGAGGAGGATCAACAAGTGATTAACTGGCACGTACAAATGGGAGGAATTCCCTCTCCAGGTGTAGGCAGGGTTTAAAGAAGACAGGTTGTGACAGCAGGGATGGAAGGGCACTAAGAGCAGGATTTAAAGAAGACAAGTTGTGACAGCAGGGGTGGGAAGGCACTAAGAGCAGCAGACTGCAAGTGCCTTGCAGGAACCTGACTGACCTGGGACTTCTTTTTCCACTCCCAGATCCCGATATCGTCTCGGAGAAGAAGCCGGTTACAGAGGTCGATCCCACGCTCTTTGAAAAACGATTCTTGAAAAGAATCCGTGATCTGGGAGAGGTGAGGGCAATGTCAGATACACATCTGGCTGCTGGAAAAAGCAGAAGTACAGCTTTTTTTGGGCCAGGTTGCTCTTAAATCCAGCCAGGGCTGAGCGTGAAGAGTAGCTGCAATATTTTTTGAACATTTAAACATGGTAAGAGGGGTGGTGGAGGCATCACGAGGAGGCTGCTTGGGGTGAGGGTGGCAGAGAATACTTGGTTAATCCAGCTGCAGGAAAAAGAGGTGCGTTCTGGAACAGGTTGCCCAAGGAAGCTGTGGCTGCTCCTCCCTGGAAGTGTTGAAGGCCAGGCTGGATGAGGCTTTGAGCAACCTGGTCTAGTGGAAGGTGTCCCTGCTGCTGGCAGGGGGGTTGGAACTGGATGAGCTTTAAGGTCCCTTCCAACCCAAACCATTCCATGATTCTATGATTCTGTACAGAAATCTGGGCAATTTTCTGTGAACATCTAGTACCCAAAAGCGATCTGAACCGTAAATGTGTTCCTAAAAGCAGAATTTGTCATCTCATGGTCTTTTGGTCTTTGCATTTCTTATAGAAACAAGTGTCTGTATGTCTGTATATACAGTTGTGTGCACTTCCTGTGTCACAACAGCAACACGTGAATCATAAACACCCAAAACGCTGCACGTGGTTAGTGAATCTTGTGTTAACTCTTGTTGTCTTTTCTGTCACCATTAGGGCCACTTTGGCAAGGTTGAACTCTGCCGATACGATCCAGAAGGTGACAACACAGGGGAGCAAGTGGCAGTTAAATCTCTCAAGCCAGAGAGCGGAGGGAATCACATCGCTGATCTCAAGAAGGAAATAGAAATCTTGAGGAATCTTTATCATGAGAATATTGTCAAATACAAGGGGATTTGCACAGAAAATGGTAAATCTGCATGTAGAATATTAAAAGTATCGGGGTTTTCCTTCAAAAATGAATCATTTTAAAAAGCAAACCAGTTTAATTTTAGGGGTTTAGATCACTTTCTTCAGGGAAAAAGCAGCAGTTTATCTCTGAAATCCTTCCTCCTGCCTGTTTTTGTGCTTGGCTGACTTGGATGTGAGCAACGTGGTTGCTGCTCTCACCAAATGCATTAAAAGAGCTGAGCCTCTGGGCAGGCTGGTGGGGTCCGAGTTCCCCGGTGTGAGCTGACCCTTGCAGCCCCCTAAGCCCAGAGGTCGTTATTAGAAGTGCACGTTATTATTCTTAAAAAAAAAAAGCTGCATTTGCAGGCTGAAAATATATATATATTTTTTAGGCCAATATTTTATAACTTTTAAGTTTTAACAGTGCTGCCTGGAGTAGGTTCTGCTCTGGGCTGGTTCAGTGACTGATGCCCACGGTCTGGCCACGGTCACGCGATACCGTTACAAAAGCTACCGGTGCTGTGGGCTTGTGCACAAGTTATTGGTGTTAACGAGCAGGGTCACGTGGCTGCAGATTAAAGGCACACTCTTGTTTTCAGGAGGAAGTGGGATTAAACTCATCATGGAATTTCTTCCTTCTGGGAGCCTAAAGGAGTATCTCCCCCGGAACAAGAACAAAATCAATCTCAAACAACTTCTCAGATACGCGGTTCAGATCTGCAAGGTGAGCCTGGCACAGAGCCGTCCTGCAGCTCTCCTGCATCATTAATTTAATATTTAATTAAATTTAGGGGAGGAGGGGCTTGCTTTGTGAACACCACCGTTCTCCTCACTTTGCCCCCAAGGCCCTGAATCCTAAAGCAGCCTCTCCTGTGCTTTGGGTGCTACTGGCACAAAGCTCAGCAAGGGAATAATGACCAGGAATGAGAGGTCACCATGAGAAGTTGTTCCTACTGCAGAATTTGAAATGTCAGAAGGGAGGACAGCGCTTAGAGAGGGTGTGTTGGCAAGAGGGAAGGAGCAGCGTGCAAGTCTAAAGCGAGGAAGAGGAGTGAGTGTGGTCAGGCTGTGTGATGCCATGTGCTTTCTGTGGGAGACTCTGGTTTTGTGGTCGTGGAGGACTGGGCAGTTATAGGAGGCGTTGACAGACCATCAGTTTTAGAACACAAAGGGACGGTCGCTGTGGAGAGAAGGGTCTGAAGGTGGTGGCTGCGCAGCTGAAAATTAAAAAAGCACAAAGCAGAAAGAGCAGTCGCAACAGATGAGGAACCCAAAGGCTGAGTTTAAGGGGGGTGTGTGCCAGGAAAGGACCCTGGAAAGTGCCAACAGATGGAGAACCTACCATGGGAAACCTGGGTAGAGATTCACCAGCATGCTTCTGGTGAACAAGGGAGCATCTGAAGGGGAAGTTGGAGAAAAAGTGACCGAAGTGTTGGAGAAACTGGCATAAAAGGCTTTCTTCTCTCTCAGGGAATGGACTATCTGGGCTCCCGTCAGTATGTGCACCGTGACTTAGCAGCAAGAAACGTCCTTGTTGAAAGCGAGAACAGAGTGAAGATTGGAGACTTCGGTCTCACCAAAGCCATCGAGACCGACAAGGAGTACTACACCGTCAAAGACGACCTCGACAGCCCCGTTTTCTGGTAGTAACTTATAACTCACTTTCTTTCCCCAGACTGTGCAGTGGAGTAACTTGTCTGCTCCCGAGGACTTGGGCTTTGAGGCGTCCTAAAGATTTTTCCTGTTTTGATAAGAGATCTAAATAAAGATACAACATCAGAACCAGGAAGAAGCACCTGGTAGACTGTACTTGGCTACTTTTGTGCTATTTATTTCTTCCTGCACTGAATGATCCATTTTCCCACGATCTTGCTTTTGTTTTTGGTCCCACACAGTTTCACAGTGACTCGCTGTGTAACCATTGTACCTTATTTACTGGTTCTGCGGCCTCCCGAGCCCTGTGGGCACATTTGTTGATGCACAAGGACTCTAGAAACGCAGAACGTGCCTCTTGAGTTTGCTGCCTTTCAGTACATCCGAGTTGTGGATTGATGAGTAGATCCATGTGGCTCTGAATCCGGTTTAACACTGTTTCATTGTGTCCACACACAGGTATGCTCCGGAGTGCTTGCTTCAGAGCAAATTTTACATCGCCTCGGACGTCTGGTCGTTCGGGGTGACGCTGTATGAGCTGCTGACCTACTGTGATTCGGAGTCCAGTCCCATGGCAGTAAGTGGAGTTGTGGAGTCTCCATCTCTGGAGATGAACCCCCACCTGGACACTTTCCTGTGCAACCTACTGTAGGGAACCTGCTTTGGCAGGGGGGTTGGACTGGATGATCTCCTGAGGTCCCTTCCAACACCCACCATGCTGTGATTCTGTCACTGTGAAGTGGTTGTGAAAGAAATTGCTGCTAAAGCTGCTTAAATCAGATATTTTTAAAAATATATATATGATTTTTTTGGAAACAAGAAGTGGAATGAATCTTTTTATCTTAAGAAAACAACCCTCGTGGTTGTCTTTCACTACAGACCCCGTACAGAGATCAGTTGTGGTGACTGCGTGTCCTGGTGGGGAGACTACATGTAAATGTTCCTTGGTATCTGTATGATGAACATCTACTGTTCCTTCTGAGATTCAAATGTCATCTTCATGTCAGATTGAAACAATCTGGATGGGTGCAGGGGAAGAGGATGTGCCACTGACTCCTGCTCTTTTCACAGGAGTTCCTGAAGATGATCGGCCCCACGCAGGGACAGATGACGGTAGCGCGGCTGGTGCGTGTCCTGCAGGAAGAGAAGCGTTTGCCACGTCCACCCAACTGCCCCGAGGAGGTAACGAACGCGCCGGCGCTTTGGTGACGGTGCCTTTGACACTCAGTTAGCAGTAAAAGCCTCACACACGCACGGTTGAATAGACCTGGCTAGTCTTGGTAGGAGAACCTTCAGGTATGATGTTAAAAAGGCATTTCTGAGGGTTTTACGCATTATTTATGAATGTTTTTTGACAATGACATTCCCAAGTTTGTGACGTCCCTTCAGAGGGGTTAAGAACTTTGCTTTAGTGTCTGGATCCATGTGAAATCTGTTCAGAATCCTCCAGATTTTTGAAATACAGAGTTCCTGGTTGTGCAGCAACCCAGACTGAGAGGCAGCTCAGCAGGACGGCGGTTGGCAGAGCCTGAGGCACAGCCAAGAGGGGGCATCCACAGCTTCTCAGGCCAACCTGGGACACTGTCTCACCACCCTCACACCAAACAATTTCTTCCTCACATCTCAGCTCCATCTCCCCTCTCCCACTTTCAACCCATCACCCCTTGTTCTGTCACTCCCTGCCCTTGGCCAAAGTCCCTCCCCACCCTTCCTGGAGCCCCTTCAGGTACTGGGAGGCCACTAGAAGGTCTCCCCGGAGCCTTCTCTTCTCCAGGCTGAACAGCCCCAACTCTCTCAGCCTGTCCTCACAGCAGAGCTGCTCCAGCCCTCACATCATTCTCGTGGCCTTCTCTGGACTGGCTCCAGTAGCTCCATGTCCTTCTTACAAACTGGGCTGTGGGTACCTGACCCCAAGCCAACAGGTACTTAGTTCTTTCAAACCATTAGTTCTCAAGAGGTGCACAGTCACGATTTTGAGAACACATCCCTTCCTGAAACCATGAGGAAGCTGTTGGGTTGTTTTAAGCTGGTGTTTTGTTTTAAGCTGTTGGGTTGTTTTAAGCTGTTGGGTTGTTTTAAGCTGTCTGTGCTACTGCTGCATCGACTGCGCGCTGTCAGACACACACACACCTTTACTTAAACAAAAAACCCCACTGCCAACAGGTACTTGCTAATTCTGATGAAAATCAGAGGCACGTTTCTGTCGGTGTTCTGCATTTCATAGGAGTGGGAATCTGCTCCATTAGATTTCCTGGAAAAGCCCATGTTTCACACATCCTTTAATAATTTCTCTCTTTTTTTTGTTGCCAGGTGGACCAGCTGATGAGGAAGTGCTGGATATTCAAGCACGATGAACGGACGACCTTTCACAATCTGATTCAAGGATTTGAAACAATTATGAGTAAAATGTAATTATTTTTTTTTTTATATATATATATATTGTCAATTCCTTAAATGTGTGTCAAAATATAAATGCCCAAAACTTCATTTTTATTTTTAACTACTGTAATTTGTACTCTGACTGTGCTAATGTGTGCAAAGGATTCTTTTCCCAACAGTTTTCCTTTTTAATTTTAGTCAGCAGTTGGATCAGATGAATTAAAAGGTATGGCAGAAACAATTCCTTCGAGGCCTTTCGCTTCCCTTGCAGTTTTATCTTTATCTGCTGGTGGTCTCACCACAATCTGAATTACCCTGATGAATGCGAATGGAAAGAGCGGTGCCAAAAAAAAACCCAAATGCTGCAGTTCTCAGTGTTTAAAACACGTCTGCTGCGCACGCTCCTTCCTCGAGTCACTGAACCAGTGGACATAAGAGGATGTGAGACAGTAATTTCCTAATTTTCATGGGGTTTTTGAGGAGGTTTTAAGAAAAAGTTTGACTGACAAATGTCTTTCATGTGCACTTAAGTTTTAGTAACAAAAAAAAAACCAAACCAAAACCCAACTCTGGCATAAAAAAATCCAGAGAAGATAAAATAATCAGCTCGGCTCGACCCAGCGGCAGTTCTGAGCTCTTATGTATTTTTAAGAAAAAATAGTTTCTTGACTGTTGTGGTCAAAAAAAAAAAGCTTAGCTCAGCATGTACAGTTGCACATTTCACTGAGGAGCCCAGGTCCTGGATAAATGATTTGCTTTTCCTAACTCAGCCCCCAGCCCTCCCCTCCCACCGGCCACATTTCCGCCCGCTGAAGCTCCCACCGTTTCTGTAGCTCTTGGACCCGCAGCCGCGGCGCTTTCCAGCTGGTACTGTGAGTGGGGACGTGGGTGTAAGGAAATGAATGACACTTTGGGGATAGAAAATGAATCCATGGATGGGATCTGGGGGAGCACTGCCTCACAAATGTCTAGAGGGGAGGACTGAGCGAGCGGGGCAGCGTCCCCGGCAGGGAAAACACCTCGAACACATGAAACACGTGTTGGTGCCAGCGGAGCCGCGCGAGGGGCGCGTGGGACACTCGTTGGTTTGGTCACTGATCTCTTTGGCCAACATGTTAATTCACTGGAGCAGTTCTTGGGTAAAGCTGTTCATTTGGCCAAAGATGAGGATTCTTTAAAGAAGAATTTAAAGAATTCTTAATTCTTTAAATTCTAATTCTTAATTAATTGGCCTTTATTTAATTTGACTTACAAGACTCAAACCCTGCACTTGTGCAGAATCCAGTTAACCAAAGTGAAACCAGTGGGGCCAGACTGGGACCACGGAGGGTTTTTTGGGGTGGTTTTCTTTTGGTCAGGACCAGATTTAAGCTGGAAGCGTGAGGGGAGGGCTCTGTTCTCTTGTTCTGTAAACCCTGTCAGGCTTCAAGCGACAGCGGTTTAACTGGAAACCCTTTGCTGACCCATGTCCTAGGACTTGGGTGATCATGTTTTCCCACCACACCTGGATTTTTGAAAATGCTTTGAGGAGCTAGTTCTGGCAATAACAGAAAGATGTCTTTAAATATATATCTATATATATATATAAAAAAATTGTAATTATGAGCTGTAATGAGGTCAAATTTATTTTTACAGTATTACTTGTTTTTTTCTGTATGTCACTTATGAACCTGATTTAAATCTGTAAGCACTTTGTTACTCTTTATACAAACAAATCTAATAAAGATTTTTTTTTTTTCTCCACTTGCCTATCTTTTTTTTTTAAATAAAAAATTAAACAGAGAAAGATTTTCAAAGGTAATTTCCACAGGAATGGTGTTCAGAATGTGTTGTCTTCCAAAGAACCTTTCCCTCCATTAAATTATTACTATAAAGGTAGCCCAGAGATGATTTCCTCCCGCAGCAATCCACTTACAACTGCGTACCAACAGTTTATTTTCATTGAAAAGCGTAACAAGTTGAGAAAAATTGCATATACAAACAGTTTGAACAAAATATTACAAGTGGGTTTATCCAGCCAGCCAGGCAGGAGCCCAGAAAAGCTCCTGTCACCTGCACCTTAAGCAGCTACTGCTCTTTTTTTTTGTCTTTTTAAGCTTTGAAAAAATCTGTATCCTGGTCACATCCCAAAGCTTGAAAGGCAGAGTTTAAGACTTTCCTTTAAAAAAAAAGAAGCCAGTACTGAAAAATTCAGTATTACCAAGCAAGTTGAATTAAGAAGGACCTGGGTTCTGGCCTCTGCTCAGTGAATTCAGTCCAAAGGAAATTGCAACAGGATTCCAAGGCTGCGACCCCCCCCACGCTGGGATGGAGCGCTGGCTCGTCATTGATCTGTCACAAACAACACCATTGATTTCAGAAGTTCAGCTTTCTAAATCTTCAGCTACAAGGATGAGCAGCAGAAGAGAAAAAACAAAAAACCCAACAAACCTCCAGCCAGAGTTGCTTGATGAATAAGCTAAAAATACAAACTTTAAAAATAATAATAAAAATAATAATAATAATAATAATAAAATTGATCCAGTCAAGCTGGGAAATGGTGTCTGTGTGGTACCATCTGCTCCGCCCCACAGCTGGGTGATGGGCAGAGGCACAGGCACAGTGTGTGGGGGAGCCCCTACCCTGCCCTGGGACAGGTGAGTGAGGCAACAGCTTTTTCCTTCTCGTGAGAAAAGCTTTTCCTGCAAAAAAAAAGCAGTGTGTAAGAAAGAGTGAAAACCAGAAGCAGGCTGCTCTGCTCAGCAGGCTTCAGAGTGCAGCAAAGCCCAAAAGTTAAGATGCTTGGAATAAAACCTAAAGAACAAACCCAGTGATGAGCAGGAAGGCAGGATTAAAGCCATACATCATCCCAGGGGCACAGCAGCATCGCTCCTGCTCAAACTCTGAGTCATCCAGATTCAGAAGAATTCAGAAGAAGTGCAACAGGCAGTTGATTTCTTCCATTTTCTGTGATCTTGACCAATGCTCCAGCAGCTGGAAGTGCTGCCAGCAGCTCTGTGTGACTGCTGGAAGGAGGACGGGGCTTTGCTGCGAACACTGTTTTACACAGATGCATTTACAAACTGTAAATTACTTATTCCAAGGAAAAACTCTGGATTCTTGGCCTAAAAAGCAGATCAAGGTGACTTCATTGTCCACGTATCACCTATCCAAATCCAAGTGACTCTTGCAAGGCAGCACACAGTAGAGCATCTCACTTTGAACAAACATTTATTGAAAACATCACAGAGGCTCTGGTAATACATTTGGTGTATCTCCAATTCCAGGATTAAGAGAAATATTAAAAATATAAAAGCTGTAAATGCAGAATTCTTAATCCTGGAAAAAGTAAGATTGGAAAAAAAAACAAAAAAAAACCCAAAACAAAACCCCACATTCTGAGTTAATAAAATAAGAAAAACCCCCACTATCAAGACTTCAACTTTTATCTTCCTCAGTCTGAGGACTAGAGAAAGGCTCAGCGTTCCCTCCTCAGTGGTTTTATTGCTTTCAGGGGGTAAGTAAGTCACCAAAACTCACCCAGCTACTGGGCTTTGGCAGCTTCAACCCACCGTGACGTTCAGCGGCAGACGCCACACACAGCCCCATCCTTTCAGAAGGCAAGTCAGGCTACTGAGGAATGGCTCTAACCTCATGGAAATACCTACCCTCTCCTCGGCAAATCTCCCTCCCCCTTTACAGAGGGTTGTTCCTCTCGGGATAGTCATAACCCACACACAGAAAGAAGAATGATTTGTTTGAAGTTAAGGCAGCAATAAATAGCAGAGGTCCGACGAGCCTGCCTGCACCCCGAGGCAGGAGGGATTGTTTGGGGCTCAATAAACGCGCTTCTTTTTCAGCGAGGATTCTGCGTAACGCACTGCGGAGCCCTGAGTCTGCTGGCCAAGGTACTCCATGGGGCCAGGTTCTGGGGAGGAAATGAGGTACGAGGAGCCTCGCTTCTCGCTTCTGGTTGGAGCCACCTAAGGACAAGAAGAAAACAAGTGACACATGATCCAGAGCAAACTGTGTCAATAAATAAAGCTCCAGGCTGGGAATGACCAAGGACCAGGAGCCAGTAACCGACTCCAAAGGCCCGACTCCTTCGGCTTTAAGGTCCAGCTATACACAGCTGATGAGTCAGTGTTCGTGCCCTTTCCCTAAAAAACCCCATGGTAAATGCAGTGCTGTCCCCCCACACGTGCGTTTTTGTGAGGGCAAAGGGCTGGTGGGGCCAGGTGGCCCTGCTCTGCGGTGCACGTTTCCAAAGCAGAAGTGGAATGGCCATGCTATCGCCCTGCAGGGTCACTGCAGCTCCCACCACCTTCATCCTTTAAAGGAGGCACCCGTGGGCCACCTTCTATTCCTCTTTCTCTTGGAGAGCTGAATGAGTTCAGCTGTCCATGGCTGAGTCAGATGTTGAAGGACGTGGTTTCCAGCCATGCCAAAGCAGGAGGGTTGTGTAACCATCTGCCACGTGCCAGAGTGATTTACATGTGGTAC